CACAACCCTTCTTTTCTGACCCACAACCCTTCTTTTCTGACCCACAACCCTTTTTTTCTGACCCACAACCCTTCTCCTTTCTTTCTGACCCAGAACCGCGATCCGCCCGCTTTCTTTTTGACCCCTAGCCGCATAGCCCTTTTCTATAGCGACCCTTCTTCTTTCAATTGGATCCGCAAGCCTTCAGTTTTGATCCATATATCTCGTGAAGTAAGGGCAGAAATATGTACATTAGACAACACAGTCAAAAACAACATTGCTCAACACTTATTACAGGCTCAATGATTAAAATTAGCTATTTCCGATGTATCACACGATCACTCAAACCTTCAATGCTAGAGGTGGTGAAATTAAGCTGAGTATTGTAAAATAATCTTCTAAATTTACTGGTGCCTTCATCAGCTTGTTTAGAGCACCTAGAAGTGGCAAAAACCTAAACCGTTTCTTGCCAGATATGTATACAAGCGATGGAACAACTTCTACAATCCAATGATATATGGAAGAATTAATGACACAGGGGCCGCCAACACAGAAGACTAATATGGTAGAGGTTTCCAAGATGCAACACGTAGTTTAAGTTGGCAAATTCAATTGAGCAACTCACAGAAATATCCAGAATTTGAAAGTCAAAGTTTATCAGAAGCGTTTTGTTATTTAAGAAGAGCTATACATTACATGAGCCCAGACCAAAATAGTTTTTAAGTTGTTCTTATCAACAATACAGAAGTAAAAAATTCGTTATAGGTACGTCATTTGAGAAAATGGCGGACGTCAATTTGACCGGATACAACGCAAAAATGTCGGGAATTACAAATTTCACTATTATGAGCAATTTACGAGGTTTTCGGCCACATGCTTTCATAGACTGTTCTGGAATTGAAAGAAAGCGGAAGTGTTGTACATGATGAAAAAATCTATATAATACTATATACAATGATGAAATACGAAAAAAGAAATGCAAAGACTGGCAACCGTGTTCATCTTCAAAAGCAGTTAATGAACTTCAGCCCCTTTGATTTGAGGGATACTTCATACCTAGACCATTTACATACAGAATCGAAATTAAGGCAGTCAAGGGAAGCAATGCTTTTATTAAGAAAAGACATGATAGAAGCGAACAAGAGGTCTAATTATGGACAGAATAACTAATGAGTTATCTCCTCCAAACTTACCTTACATGTCAAAGCAACATTTAGAAGACAGAGTTAAACCACTTAAACATCTGGCGACATCCTTCTCTAAACTTTCCCCTTGGGTGGCTCACCAAAGGGTAGGCCAACTTGGAAGGGCCACTTCCCTGCATTGGCCACAAAAGGGTGAGTCAACTTGGCATGGCCACTTCCTTCTCCAAATTTTGCCCCTGCGTGACCCACACAAGGGTGAGTCAACTTAGCATAGCCACTTCCTTCTCAAATTTTTTCCCCTGCATTGCCAACACAAAGGGGTGAGTCAAGTTGAAATGGCAACATCCTTCTCTACATTTTACTCCTGCATTGCCGACAAAAGGGTTAGTCAACTTGGAATGGCAACATCCTTTTCAAAACTTTCCCCTTGGGTGGCTCACCAAAGGGTAGGCCAACTTGGAAGGGCCACTTCCCTGCATTGGCCACAAAAGGGTGAGTCAAGTTGGAACGGCCACTTTCTTCTCTAAATTTTACCCCTGCATTGCGCACAAAAGGGTGAGTCAACTTGGAAGGGCAACTTTCCTCACTTGGAAGGGCAACTTTCCTCTCTAATTTTTACCCCTGCATGGCCCAAAAAAGGGTGAGTCAACTTGGCATGGCCACTTCCTTCTCTAAATTTTACCCCTGCATTGCCCACAAAAGGGTGAGTCAAGTTGAAATGGCAACATCCTTCTCTAAATTTTACCCTCGGGTGGCTCACCAAAGGGCGAGTCGACTTGGCAGGGCAACATCCTTCTCTAAATTTTACCCCTGCACTGCCCACACAAAGGGGTGAGTCAAGTTGAAATGGCAACATCCTTCTCTAAATTTTACCCCTGCGTCAACCAGTGAACACACGTGAAAGCACAGACATGAGAGCACATAAACGAAAGCAAATATTCTTTGTTGAGGGAATGGGTCACGACAGTGTGACAACCAAAGTGAGGGCATGAGTGACTAAGTCAGCAAAGAAAGAAGTAAGTAAGTGGCCATTTATATGGCACCCCTGTTCATATTGAATAAGACAAGGGAGTTTGTGAGGAATCACCCTGAAAAAATATCATTGTGGCAGGCGATTGTAAACAGATCCCACCCATAAAGGACTTGACAAATGGTATGACACATGAAGGGTATTGAGACCATTGTATGGATTCCATTTTTAAATGTAGTATTTTCCTGAAGATATGTAAGAGAGTGGGAGGGAAGGGCGCCGAAGAGGGAGAAAAGAACAGGGCAGTGTTGGATGATTTGTATGTTGACTACTGGCTAAAGAAGTTACCCATAAGAGACATCATTGAGAAATACTTCATTGATACCGACAACGTTATGACATCTGATAGGCACATAGCATACACCAACTTGAGATGTAGAAGTGTAGCAAATAGGGTCAGGGCATTGTTAGGTTTTAAAAAACAAGTACGTATGAAATAGGTGAAGAGTTGATACGCCGTCTTTATCTGGACAAGGATGGTATGAAATTTAATGCGATAAAGTTATAAATATAAACTCCTGCATGATTACAATACAAAATTATCAAAGAAAACAGAAGACATATTGCGCTACTTGTCACAGTTGTCAAGGGGCATACATCAAATCAACAATCACCATCCACGAATGGGAGAAACAGAATCTGGTCACTAGGGAGTGCTTATGGACATGCATCACTAGAGCAACCGATTTCAGGAATGTTTACTATTTCAAGAACGATTCTGATGATGATAGGATACATGGTTTACCGTTAAGCAACTACTTGAACATGGGCATAAGGTTCAGGACTTCAAGGCAGGAAGACACATCAATGCCAGGAACTATGTGAACGTGCGCTGGTGCTAGAGGGACTGGCTGAGTGCTGTCAGAAGTGCGGTGGGTTTTGAAATAGATGACAAAAGGGAAATCAAGTAGCACTGTTGCCGTGCAACGGGTTGACAATGCCTTTTGCCATTCCAAAGATAACTGCGTGGCATACTGTAGATACTGTAATTGTAGTTCTAAATAATCTCTACTTTAGATATATGTCATCTAAACAAAACAGTTTTTCTGATATATATGTTGACAGAAGTGGTTTTGGGAGCAAGGCTGTGACCTTGCAAGATGCCAGAAAAAAGGGATAGGATTACAAGCACTTCCCGGGCAAGCCGGCGGCGGAAGTTTCCTATAAGAACAAATTGACCTATAGGAGTATTCCGGTTCTCTCAAACACGCGCGTCCCCCAGTCAAACGCACGCGCTCCGGACTTTTGATCAACACAGCGCCACCTGCGCAAGGTCTGTGCTTCCTGCAGGATCAGCAGCTCACAACAGCGTACCGGGTTGTGTCTATGGCAAAGCAAGATCAGCAGCCCACACCGGTGTGCTGAAGCAACTGGGCAGCTACAAACTTACCTGTTGACAAAACAATCAACTGTAACCAGTGTTGGGTTATGATGAGTGGTGTTTGATGAGTGATGTATGATGAGTCTTGTATGATGAGGGGTGTATGACGAGTGGTGTATGATGAGTGGTGTATGTTGAGTGGTGTATGATGAGTGGTGTATGATGAGTGGGCAGCGAGAGATGACTCAGCAATGAGAGATGACTCAGCAACCACAGATGACTCAGCAGCGAGAGACGACTCAGTCGCGAGAGATGACTCAGCAGCGACAGATGACTCAGTCGCGAGAGATGACTCAGCAGGGAGAGATGAGTCAGGAGCGAGAGATGACTCAGCAGCGAGAGATAACTCAGCAATGAGAGATGACTCAGCAGCGAGAGATGACTCAGCGCGAGAGATGCGAGAGATGACTCAGTCGTGAGAGATGACTCAGCAGCGAGAGATGACTCAGTCGCGAGAGATGACTCCTCCGCGTACTAAAGTTGAATGGCCAGTTCTCAGTGACCAGCTCCACAGGTTGCTCCGCATACTAAAGTTGTAATAGTCGCCAGTTCTCAGCCTCCAGCTCCCCAGATACTCCGCGTACTAAAGTTGTACTACAAAGTGGCCAATTCTCAGCTTCTAGCTGCACAGGTTGCTCTGCGTACTACAGTTGTACTACAAAGTCGCCAGTTCTCAGCCTCCAGCTCCCCAGTCACTCCGCGTACTAAAGTTGTACTACAAAGTCGCCAGTTCTCAGCGTCCAGCTCCACAGGTTTCTCCGCTTCCTAAAGTTGTACTACAACGTCGCCAGTTCTCAGCTTTCAGCTCTACAGATTGCTCCGCGTACTAAAGTTGCACTAGAACGTCGCCAGTTCTCAGCTTCCAGCT